CCGTAGGCAGAGAGGGAGAAGAGGACAACAAACGAGGGGCTGTGACAAACTGTTTCGTCAGAGTTTCACCGACTCATCAGGAGGCTGAACATATATATATATATATATATATATATATATATATATTTTAATCCGCGTTCGGCTGAACGGCCAAACGCATCGAGAGGGGGTTCCGAACGTTCGCTGCTGATTATAGTCGATGCATGACATGGACAAACAACAACATGCCGCGGACTCGTTTACCAAAGGCAAACACAGATAGATGTTCAATTCAAAAACGAAACGTGAAACGTGCATAGAAAATGACGATCAAGTCAGGCACAGCATGCGAGACTTTCGTCTACGCATCTGGCTATTCCCCGACGCATTTCGGCTGGAGCCAGATCCAGCCTCATTAGGGGGGCATTGCGAACTGAAGGACCTACCTAAACAGACCGTCAACCATTAATAGTCTAGGCGGCCTGAAAGAAAAACCAAAAACAATTCGAAAAAAACCGTAGACCAACAACAAAAATCCTAAAAAAAAATACACCAACAAGTCAAACAGGTCACTGTACCCCTACAGACACTGCTACCCCGTTTTCAGAGCCAACGAATCGACGCCGGCCCTTCGGCCTATCTCAAGGACCGACAAAACTACAACATTTCCCAGGTTACCCTTCTAGCTATCTCCGCCCAATCCGGGGCCCGCTTACCTACAAACTTCCAGAGAGTGCGATCAAACAGGTCACACGGATAATCCTGCCTTCTCAGCTCGCGTTTCGGCGTGAGCAGGCTCTCCTCCGCTCCAGACAGGGTCATAGAGCATTCCCTGATCTTATGGATCATTCCGTTCACCAAAAACCTCTTCTGCCTCATACTCGTGTAAGAGCAGAAGTCCTGAAAATGTATGTAGCAAAACAGACCCTCGTTGCTCCAGATCTCACCAAAATTCTTTGATCTGTACCAACATACCACTCTTCTCCCCTGAATCTTCACCTTACAACCCAAGGGCGTTCGGCCCGTCCCGAACGCCGGCAACCCTGTATATATATATATATATATATATATATATATATCGTCAAATAGAACTGCCCGGTAAACCGTAGGCAGAGAGGGAGAAGAGGACAACAAATGAGGGGCTGTGACAAACTGTTTCGTCGGAGTTTCACCGACTCATCAGGAGGCTGAACCCTTATATATATTTTTTGGCCTGGCCGTGCAAGTGATCCTGGACCACTCTGGTAGCCTAGATAATATGTCTAAGATCAGGGTTGCCAGCGTTCGGGATGGGCCGAATGCCCGAACCTGAACGCCCGAACGTACGGGACCCCTTCGGAAGGCGTTCGGCTGTTCCGGCCGAACGAAAAAAAAAAAAAAAAAAAAAAAAAAAAATCAAAAAATTTTGAAAAACAAATATGTTATGGAGAAACATAAATTAAACAACATTTGCCCAGGCACTGTATCCAAATTCTTTACCAAATTTGAATTAAAAAACAAATACAAAAAATAAACACTATGATAAAAATAAGAAAAAATAAAAAGAGAATTAAAATGAGTAAGTGTGCGAGCACCTTTTCGACACCGCCATCGTTGCCGATTTTTAATTATTTTTTGGAATTGACCATTGCCCTGAAAATTTACAGATATGTAGTTTACATAATCAATAAATCATTAACATTTTTTTAAAAAATAATAAAATAATAGAACTTTTTAGACCCCGAAATAAAGTGAAAACAAAAAGTTAAAAGTGAAAAAAAAACAAAATAGTGAGTGGGCAAGCACGTTTTGACACCCCCATCTTTGACGATTTTTAATGTTTTTTTGGCTTAGCAGAATGACTTCAAAATTTATAGGCGTTTAGGTTACATCATAAAGCACTCACAAAAAACAAATTCATAAAAAAAAAAGTTATTTTTAGGCCCCAAAATTTATTTTGGCGGGGGCCGAACCTGGAGGTGTTCGGCCCCCGAACGGGACCCCGAACGCCCGAACGTTCGGGGGCCATCCCGGGGGCCCCCGAACATTCGGTCAGGTAACCCTGTCTAAGATTAAAAAAAAAAAATTGCCATCATTCGTAAATCAATAAGTAATGCATTAGAATGCCACTTATTATTATACTAATGCTAAATATGGTAAGATACCTGCCAAAGTACAATAAGACCCGCTAAACTCTCACTTGACAAAATGACAGTTTATGTCACGTATTTGGTTGTGAATCCAACAAGGTGATTTTGACCATTGAAAGCAATGAAACCTCGGGGTATCTAGAATTAACAGAGTAAAAAAAAATACATTTTGCATCAGGGTTGCCGGGGTTCGGGACGGGCCGAACGCCCGAACGTTCGGCATCCCCTCTCGACACGTTCGGTCGTTCGTTGACAAAAAAAAAAACAAATCCAATTAAAAATATATATATATATGTTATGCAGAAAAATTAACGGAACAATATTTGCCTCAACGTTACATTCAAATTCTCTACCAAATTTGAAATAAAAATCAAATACTCAAAGTAAATAATAATAATAAAAATTAGAAAAAATAAAACGAGAATGCAATTATTGAGTGGGCGAGCACGTTTTTGACACCGCCATCTTTGATGACTTTTTTTTTTTTTTTTTGTCATTGAAAAATGCCATGAAAATTTATATATGTGTATTTTACATAATAGGGAATGTACAAATAAAGTTTGAAAAAATAATATTTTTTTTCATGCCGCAAAATAAAGGAAAAAGAAAAAGTGAAAAAAAAAAAAGAAAAAAAAATAGTGAGTGGGCAACCAAGTTTTTACACCACCATCTTTGCCGATTTTTCTTTTTTTTTTGGCCAAGAAGAATGACTTCAAAATTTAGAGGAAGATACCTTACATCAAAGAAAATTCACAAAAAAATATTAAAAAAATATATATATATATATACAAGGTTACCTGATCGAATGTTCGGGGGCTCCCGGGCTGGCCCCCGAACGTTCGGGCCCTCGGTTGTTCGGGGTTCCGTTCGGGGGCCGAACACCTCCAAGTTCGGCCCCCGCCAAAAAAAGATTCGGGGTCTAACAATAAGTTTTTTTTTCTGAAGGTTTTTTTGTGAGTTCTCTATGATGTAACCTACACGCCTATAAAGTTTGAAGCCATTCTGTTAATCCAAAAAAACATTAAAAATCGTTAAAGATGGGGGTGTCAAAACGTGCTCGCCCACTCACTATTTTGTTTTTTTTTCACTTTTAACTTTTTGTTTTTACTTTATTTCGGGGCCTAAAAAAATTTATTATTTTTTGAAAAATTTTTAATGAGTTATTGATTATGTAAACTACATATCTGTAAATTTTAAGGGCATTTGTCAATGCCAAAAAATAATTAAAAATCGGCAAAGATGGCGGTGTCGAAAAGGTGTCGGCACACTCACTCACTTTAATTCTTTTTTTTTATTTTTTTATTTTTATCATAGTGTTTATTTTCTGTATTTGATTTTTAATTCAAATTTGGTAAAGAATGTGGATGTAGTGCCCAGGAAAATGTTGTTTAGTTTATTTTTCTCCATAACATCTGTTTTTTTTGGAATTTTTTGAAAACTTGGTTCGGGCGTTCGGTGAAACGCCGACAACCCTGTATATATATATAGGTGCCAAAATATTTTTTTGCGGGTCCGAACCCCTTCAGGCTCAGCCCCAGCATGGGGACCGGAACGACCAAACGTTCGGGGTTCAACTTAGGGGCCTCCGTACGTTCCGCCTGGCAACCCTGTTTTGCATAAATAAAAAAAAATAAAACCTTAATGGCCATAATTTTTCAATTTGTGAAGGAAGAATCATACGAATTTATATACATATAATACACATATATATTTGCGTATTATGTATATCATATATATATTTATGTAAAAAGAGATGAATATATAATTGAAGTATATTATAAATGTTATACATATGTATCATCATAGATTTTTATATACATGTATATATCATATATGTACATGCACATGTTTTTGAGACACTGTTTTCGTAGGTTACTGCTGAGCAAAACAATGTGTCGATTGTTTGAAAGATATGTTAAAGCTGTAACTAGGCAAAGAGACACAACATGATCCCTATGAAAGGATGACACACAAATCAAGAAATTGTTGGTTGAATTGGGTCTAGAGGTAGTGGTGGTCTAATCAAGTGTCTAAGTATCGTTTCCTGCTACAACAATTGTGTTTTTTGGCAACCCGGTTTCTAGCGGTGATTACACAACACTAAAAAATAATTGAACCTCAAATGCCGCCCCCGAGGCCCGTATGTGATTAATTCATACTAACTCAGTTCTTGGTTCTCTGTAAATCTTGAAACTGTTTGTGAAGGGATGCTATCTAACGACTTGGTGGAGGGGGTAACATCAACCGCCCCAAATCGTTCGTTGTTTTCAAGGTCAGACTGGGAGATGACTTGAACTCAAGTGCAAAAGTGGGGGCATCCTAAAAACTGGGCCCGAGCCAACACAACATGTGAAAATGAGGTTAGGATGGAGCCAACATAGCACGTGAAAAAGAGGTTTCAAGGGCAGCTTCATGTGGTGTGGGAGGCGCTCTGTCAATGTAGCCCTGCTGTGAAAAAAAATTCCAAATGGTGTGGAAGCCCCTCTGTCAGAATGGTACTGCTGTGGAAAGTGTGCAGAAGCTTCGAGGGCAATCTCGTAATTTCACCCAACCCGGGGGCCCGGGGAAGCCGTATCGTCCCTGAGGAGCCACTGTTTTGGGGGAATATCCGTTATTATTGGACTTCGAGGGTAATTTCGTGATTTCATAAAAAGAAAATGTTGGCTTTTACGTCTTGGCAGTATACGGTGACGAGAGGCCAAAAGCGCGCGCTTTGAGGTCTCGCTCCACCGCTCGCGGGAATGCGAAATTTGTGAATGTATCGTGCTGAGTTCGTAGGCGGGATACGTTGTCACATTTGGGCGCAGGTAATTCGTTAGTCAGGTGACACCCCGGACCGAAGCATTTTCGCTCCGTCCGCCCCGAAATGTTTGTCCCGCCGAGACGCGGCATGGCGTGTGGTGGCATTCACGCCAACCTACTCGTGTTCCTCAGCGGCGTGCGAGAGTGCACGTTGCAAAGGCTACTCGTGTTCCTCAGCAGCGTGCGAGAGTGCACGTTGCAAAGCTGCCATAGCTAGCCTGCTGCAGACGGAGGATGATGCGGTCTGCGGTGTAAACGTGCGCGCTCGATCATCATCCACTCATCGGGGTGAGTGTTTTCCCTTCTGCCCCGTCCATTTTCTCCTCCCTCAGGAGCACCTGACCTGCTTCTCTACCTCCTCTTCTACATCGTCTCCTCCATCACCGCTCCCACCTTCTCCTCCCACACGCTTTCCTTAACCCCTTCACTTGTTCTCCCAGTCTCTCTCACTTCTAATTCCGGTTCTCCTCGTCCTCGTCGTCCTCCTCCTCTGCTACTGCTACCTTTCCCAGTTCCTCCCTATCTCGACGGGGAAGAAATAGTTCGAATGCCGGCTTGATTGATTGATTGGTTGCCATTGGTTGATTGATTGCGTAGTTGACTTATTGATTGGTTGGTTGATTGATTACGTCATTGATTCGCTGCCATTCCTAATAAGTAATATGTATGTGAGTACCGGATGAATAGGATGCCACGTGTTGGGTGCCAGACTGCCGTTCGTGTGGGAGAGGAGGGGCATCGGGATCCAGACGTTAATTAGTAACGGGAGAATCGTCCCGTTGAGAGGGGGTATACCCCTGGCAGGATGGCATCGGGATCCACGTCAGGCGGATGGACTAGAGGCATTACCTTGTCGGCTAAAGGCAGACGGACTACTAGAGGCCGCGTCAGGCGGATGGCATCGGGATCCAGACGTTAATTAGTAACCGGACAATCGTCCCGTTGAGAGGGGGCATACCCGTGGCAGGATTCGCCGCGCGCGAAAAATAGTCACTCCGGACACAGCCGGCGGATTCGGCGCGCTCTCTCTCTCCAGCTAGCATCTGCCGCATTTTATTAATGATCGAAGGCTGTTAACCATCCTCCTCCTCCGTCTCTTGTTTTCCCTGCATCTCGTCTGCCCAATTCACCAAAACATACCGGCAGCGCTGAGGAGCTTAAGGCATGAGTGCCGAGACTGCGCGCCGATGAATAGGCGAGACATAGGCCTGTGCCCGTCGAAGGTTTCTTCGAAACAAGCGATCCCGACAGTTGGTTCCCCCCGTCTTCCCCCTCCAGTACCATCAATCCCGACTCGACTATATTCTCAGAGAAGTATGGCGCGAGAGCTCCTTTTCAGCTATCCCAATGTACCTCTCTTCGGGATGGACTCCCCTTCTGGACCCGCCAGCCCTATACCCTCTTCATCGTCCCGATACCGCTGTGACTCCAAATATTTCTTCCCACATCCCGACTTCCTTCTCCCCGTCGCCAATTACTCTTCTCCCTCCCTTTCCCCCTTCCCGTCTAAGCTCTACACGACAGTCGGCTTCCACCATCCCATTTGCTACTCCTGCTCTCCCTCCTCTCCTCCTATCTCCCCATCCTGCCGTCAACGCATTGAAAAGAAGCTCATCAATCCACTTCCCCCCCTCACTATTGTCAGATCCTCTGGTATCGATCAAGCCCAGCCACCTTCCCCCCCCTCACTCCTCTCTCCCCTTATCTGCGACGCCCGTTCGACTTTATCACCCAGCTTCCGAGTCGGCAGCCTTGGCCCTCCATTTTCATTTTTTGAATACCCTCACGCTGAACCCCTCTATCTCTCCCCCCCACCTCCTGTCCCATCACATCCCACCCCCTGAGGCAGCATGTTTTGCCCTCCTGCCACATCAAATCCCCTCTCCTACGTATCGCATCCATTCCTCCATACTACTTAGGTTCTTCTGAGATGTTGCCAGCCCTTACCGCCATATTGCCATCTACGAATGAGGCGTCACTATACCACCTGCGCTCCAACGTGCAGACCAGACACACATCACCTTCTCTTAGCTAATACGAAATCCTTCTTCCCCTGCGAATGATGTCTGCCAGGTCACCACCACCTGTCAGCTACACCAAAACCTTCTTCCCCTGTGACCAACCTCCTCTATGTCGTGAAGGGGGCACCATCATCGCCCATATCTGATGCACCTACCACATTCAACACTCTATGATACGATTCAGTGTTGGTCGCCTTGGTCCGTCGGATCGCTTCTTCGCCGTTCTGCTCTCCCTCCTACCTGCTCTGCTTGTGTTTAGTTTTGACGAGGTGGGGAGGGAGAGAAGAGGGGTAGCAGCAGCCCCTAACGTTGTTGTACCCAGGAGCGTTATTAACAGCGTCGAGTGTCGTATCATTCAGCTACGAGGCAGGTGCCTGGTCTTTTTTTCTACCACCTTCGTCGTGTGTTCGGCAATGTGTTATGTACTGGCGGGCATGAAGGGCTATGCTGTGGACCTAATTTGGCTGTATATTTCGACGGGCAATCAGTCCTTTTTGATAGGCA